GACAGCTGTATTAAACTTCTGCCTCCCAAGGTTCAGGTATCATTGTGCTGTCCCAGGGGAGGAGGAGGAGGAGGAGGAGGAGGAGGAAAGATCTTGCCAGGTGTGGTGGCACACACCTTTAATCCCAGCACTTGGGAGGCAGAGGCAGGCAGATCTCTGTGAGTCCAAGGTCAAGCCTGGTCTACATAGTGAGTGCCAGGCCAGCTGGAGCTACAGGGAGACTCACTCAAAAAGATCCCCAACCTAAAAAAAGAAAGATCCTATCTCAAAACAATAACAAAGAATACATACAGCTCATCAAACTGTCACAGCACTGAATATAACAATAAAAACAAACTTTTTTTTTTGAGACAGGGTCTCACTAATGTAGCACTGGCTGGCCTGAAAGATGCTATGTAGACCTGGCTGGCTTTGAGCTCACCAAAGACCCACCTTCTTCTGCCTCCTTAGTGCTGATGTTAAAAGCGTGTGCCATCTCCCTTGACTGTACAGTTGGTTAATTTGCATTTATTTAATAGTTAGGCTGAACATCTTTGAACATGTATAACAGCTACTTGAGAATAAGTAGTAACAGTACTAGGTTTGGAAAAGAATTAAAGAAGGTGCTAAGCCAGCTGCCTAAGGAGAGTTAAGTTCTTCTCAAATCATGTACGTGTCAGTTGGAAGGGAGGGGAGAAGAGCTGCTCCAAAGTGCAACATTAATTCTTTAGAAGTTTCTACTTGCATTTAATTAAATACATGCTAAAGAAACATGATCAAGCCAGGCATGGTGGTGCAGGCCTTTAATCCCAGCAGAGGCAGGTGAATCTCTGTGAGCTCCAGGCCAGGTTGGGGCTACAGGGAGACCTTGTCTCAAAAAAGATAGGAAAAAAAAAAAAAAAAAGCCAAAAATCCACCACCACCAAAAAAACTACCACAAAAACAACCTTCCTCCCCCCAAACAAGCTAAATAATCAAGGCTGGCACCTATGAATCAAATCCCACTTTTTGGGCTGGTGACATGGCTCAGTGAGTAAAGGCACTTGCTGTAAAATCCTGGCAATTGCCAGAACCCATGTAAAGGTAGGAGAAAACTGAGTCTAAAAATTTGTCCTCTGACCTCCACATGCAGGCCATGACACTCAAATGTGCACATACATCATGTACACACATATACAATAATAAGCAATTAAAAAATTCCCACTTCTCATATGCAGTCAGGTAGTAAGTCCTACCATTTTTTCTTTTGAAGCCTACTTCCTTTTCGTTCTCACTTTGAATATTTCATAGATACAGTCACCACCTCACATCTAGCATACATTAACTAGGAACTAGTTTCTCAGTGTAACATATATCACATGCTTGTCATAAGTCAATCTTTTGCTTAAATTTTACTTTTGTTCCCCTTCCTTACAGTTTTTGGATGATTTTTGTTTTTCAACCTATCAAGCTTTGTTCTATATTTTAAAGGCCATCTGTATCACCAGAGTCTGTCCTAATTTCTTTCAATTTAATTTTGAAATGACAAATAATCATTGTATTTATGGGGTAGACAAACACTTTGTGGAAGAATCAAATCAGACTAGTATATTTTTCTCCTCACATATTTCTTTGTGGTAAGAACATTTAAAAATCTGTTTTTAAGCTGGGTGTGGTAGTGCATGCCTTTATTTAGTCCCAGCAATTGGGAAGCAGAGGCACGTGGATCTCTATGAGTTCAAGGCCAGCCTGGTCTACATAGTGAGTTCTGGGCCAACTGGGGCTACTACAGGGGACCCTGTCTCAAAAAGATTAAAAAAAAAAATCCAAAAAACTACAAAAACCAAAAAGCAACCCCCCCACACTTTTAGTATTTCTGAAATGTACATTATTATTAACTATAGTTAGTGTTCTTCCTGTGAAACTCTGTATGCAGTGACCACCACCCCTTCCTTGTTCGTCCATTCCATACACTCTATGTGTAGTCACTTTCACTCAATTATATACGTCTACAAATCTGACAATTTTCTATTCTGCATGTGAGAGTTAAGATTTTAATGTGTTCTCCAGTTGGTGATGCTATTTTGGGAGGTTGTGGAACCTTGTAGACAAGAGGCTTAGCTGGCAGAGACACAGGAGTGTAGAGACAGAGCTAGAGGGATATACCCAGCTGGTTACAGCCAGAGATCTTGGCTTCCTGGTCGGCCATTGAGATGTGAGCCACCAGCTCCCACTTACCATGCTTTCCTTGTGTCCTTTAAGTTGCCTCTTTTCAGGATTTGGTCCATAGAGATGAGAAAAGTAGCTGACAGTAAGATAATACAGTATTTGCCTTTCTGTGCCTGGCTTATTTAGTCATCTAAGTTGTTACAAATAACAGACTTTTCTTTTTAAAGGCTGAGGCTTAGCTTAATGTATGTGCCTAGCATGTGAGAATTCTGAAGAAACAAGATCTCAGAAGTTCTGCCTGCCTTCGCTGAGAGAGATGCTAAGAGCCAAGCTGTTTTTTTTCAAGGGGTAATTGTAATGTGGCATGGTAAATGCTGTAGTTCTGGATATGGCATGGCATGGCACAGTATTCATGAACTTATACCCAGCTTGGTTACCTGTACAAGACCTGTATAAGATGTCAACATTCCAGAATAGATGGGGAAGGGCTCATGAGGCCCTAGCCTTCCCTGTGGAGTTACAGTTTACTTTCATGACTTTTTTTTCTTGTGATCCACTGAGTTTAATTACAGTCTGTTTACATGAATATGGGTCAGGGCACATTTACAGGCAACTTACTAGTAGCTACACCACTGAAGAAAATGACTCCCCTCCTGCAATATCCATTAACTGTTGAAGATGCAGAAACAGGAGGAACACAAGTTTGAGGCCAGCCTCCTTTACATTGTGAGACTTTGTCACAAACAAACAAAACAAGCTCTATACAACAAAGGAAATAACAGAGTGACATAATGAACAGACTGGTTACACAATAAGAAAAGAAAATCTTTGCCAATTATACCTCAGACAGGGGGATCAATATCAAAATATACTAAGTACTGTAAAAACAAAACACCAAAACCATATCATTCTATCAGTAAAAGGACAGCCTGGTTTACACAGCGAGTTACATAGTGAGACCCTATCTCAAAAAAAAGTAAAAATGTTCAATATCCTCAGTCATCGGGTTAATGCAAATTAAAACTGCTTTGAGAGTCCATCTCACCTATGAAATGACTATCATTAAAACAACAAAGCACATCAAAATTCTGGCCACAACATGGGGAAAAAAGAACTCTTCTATACAATGATGTGAATGTAAACTGGTACAGCTGCTAGGTGAGTCAGTATCAAGGTTCCTCAGAAAAGTACAAAAAGAACTTTCATACAAACTAGCTGTACTCCCCAGTGTATATCCAAAAGACTCTAAGTCAACACACCAGAAATATATGCACATTCATGTTCAGGGTTGCACAAGTCACAATATCTAAGAAATGGAATCAGGGGCTGGAGAGATGGCTCAGCGGATAAGAATACTGACTGTTCTTACAAAAGACCTGGGTTCGAATCCCAGCACCCACATGGCAGCTAACAACTGCCCGTAACTCCAGTTCCAGGGGATCCGGCAGTCTCTCTGTCTTCCATAGGCATTGCACAGCATGGGTTAAAAATAATAAAAATATTAAAAAAAAAAAGAAATGGAATCAGCTTAGGTGCCCATCAACAGATGAATGGGTAAAGAAAATGTGGTACATAGACAATGGAATTTTATTTAGCCCTGCACCAAAAAAGATATTTTGTAAGAATCTAGGTGAAACTGAAGCTTTCATGTTAAGTAAGTAGGCCTCAGAAAAACAAATACTGCATGTTTTCTCTCCTATGGGAAAATCTAAATGAAAATTTATGTGTGTAGGTCATGAATGTGGAAACGGACCACAAGAGGTGAGGTAGAGAATTTGAGGCGGCAATGGAATACTTGTGACATGAAGCAGAAGAGCAAGTGTTGAAATGGTAATTTTTAATCTTCTTTATAGTTTACCACAAAAAATGAATACACTTCTGCTTAGGTTGGTAACATAGCCAAGTGCAAATGGCATGCCTGTAATCCCAGTACTCTGGAAGCAGAGAGAAGTAGGAGGAGCCCCAGTTCAAGCTTAGCTTGGGTTACAGAGTGAGATCTTGTTTCAAAAACCAAACACTCCTTCTTCAAGCTAAATGATCTAATTTCTTAAAATATTCATGTTAATAAACATTTTTCAGAAACTCAAATTATTTTGTAATAAATTACATGAACTTCCTGATGAGAAAGGCATGGTGGTACAGGCCTTTGGAAGGCAGAGGCAGGGGCAGAGGCAAGTAGAACTCTGTGAGATGTGAGATTGAGGCCAGCCTGGTCTATATAGCAAACAAACAAACAAAAAAATAAAGAAAAGAAAGACTGAAAAAGTAATGATGCCAGCAAAATGGCTTAGTAGGTAAAGATGATTGCTGCCAAGTTCAATAACTTGAGTTCAATACCAGGAACCTATGATGGAAGAAAAGAACAAACTCCCACAACTGACTTCCACATGCACACCATGGCATGGGCCCCTTCCTCCCATACACCTACGAAGGAAATAAATGTAAAAAATAAAAATGTACTCTTTAACCTAGTGATATGGGAACTTCCTGTTTATAAAATTAACATCCAGAACAGGCTTTCAAGACAACTTCATTTTGAACAAAGGAATCTCACTGCTTCTAAAATTGGAGATTTCAGGGCTGGAGAGATGGTTGAGTGGTTAAGAGCACTGGTTGTTCTTCCAAAGAATCTGGGTTCAATTCCCAGCACCCACAGTGTGGCTAACAAACCACCTGTAACTCCAGTTCCAGGGGACCTGATGCCCTCTCTGGCCTCAGTGGACACTGCATGACATGGGTACACTTACAAGCATGCAGGCAATACACTCATACACATAAAAAAATAAAACTGGAGATTTCAATTACAAATGATTCCACAAGACTGATTTCTTGAAGGGGAAAGATATTTCAGCAATTGAGTAATTGCCAGAGAGAGGAAGTAGTGCACTGTGCATGTGTCCACAAGTGTGGAGGCCAGAGGATTACCTCAGTGTCCTTCCTCCTCAGGAACCATCCACCTTGTTTTAGAGACAGGGTCTCTCACTGGGACCTGGGGTTCACCAATTAGGTGAAGTTACCTAGCCACTGAGCCCCAGGGATCCCAATGTCTCTGTTTCTCCAGATCTGGACTCCAAGTGCTAGGGTTACATGTGCTGTGCCACTGCCTGGCTTTGTATGCAGTTGATATGGATGGAACTTCGGTCATCATGTTTGTGTGGGTGGCTAGCACTTTACCAACTGAGCTATCACAGATGCACAACACTGCATTTTTGTAGGCACTAATGCTTTTGGAACAAACAACTTTGAAATACTGAGGAATGCAGAAAATCCAGATGGAAGTTGGTGCTGCTATAAACAACTGGGTGATGATGGATAAAACAGGCAAGTTAGGGTTTAAATGAAGTGATGGAAGACAGTATATTTAGTAAATTACTGTCTTGAAATACTCCTGTATGTGTGTAGAACCATGGAGTGGTGTCTCTGGTTTCCTTTACTTTCTAAGATAACTTTAGTTTGGCATCTAATTAAAAATGACCTCTCAAAATATTTAACAATTATTATTAAAATACCTAAAGGTATTGTCTCTAACATCACCAAGAGATTTTTTTTTTTTTTAATAGGTCAAGATTGAAGATCTAAAATTGAAAGTTGTGGCTGAGCATGTAGCTTAGTTGGCAGAGTACTTGCCTAGTATACACCAAGCCCTGGATTTGATGCCTGGCATGGCATAAAGCAGCACTGGGGAAATGGATGCAGAAGGATTGGAAGTTCAAGGTCATCCTCTGCTAAGTTTGAGGTCTGCCTGAGCTACATAAGACTTTGTCTCAAAAATAAAGATACATTGGAGGTCAACAGCAAATAAGAACATTTCAAGCAATGAGTCTTAACGTTTTGCGGTATGGCAGTACAGGCTGGTATAGTTATCAAAAAGGGATTATGATATAAACGCACACACAGTGCTTTTGCTAGGCTTTACTATGCCAGAAAAGAACCATTTTATTCAGTAACTATATCTAATTGCCATATTTCCTCGATTCTAATTTGTGACTTTTCATTTTTACTTTTAAAATTTTATTATTTATGTGTATGAATATATTGTCTTCAGGTATGTAAGTGCACCTGTGTCGCGCAATGCCCGGGGAGTTAAGAGGGCTTCTGAGCCCCTGAAACTGGAGTTTCAGACGGTTGTTAACCGCCAGTGGGTGCTGGGAACCGAACCTGGGTCCTGTACAGGAGCAGACAATGCCCTTAACTAGAGTCATCTCTCCAGCCCCTCACTTTTACTCTTTAACAGCTTAAAAATCAATTTTTCTTCCTTCTCTCCTCCCTGAAAGAATGCTATTTAATAGCCCAATTTACCACATATAAAATAAATGTACTAGCTACAGGCGATTTTTACCTCCAGGCCAACTCTGCATCTCAAAACTTCTCCCGCACAGAGCTTTTACAGGTAGTCCCCGCCTGTGGGAGTGACTGGGAGGGACTAAAGCCTCCTTTAAGGACTTAGTAAAGAGGATCGAGAGGCTGTCTGAAGTCAGAACGGAAATCACCAACGACCTACAGCTGGTCCTCCAGCACTCAATCCTAAAGTGTACTCAGAGGGCCCGGTCTGAGGGGCAGCAGCCAAGGGCTCCCTAGCAACCCCGTGCCTAGCTCCGCCCTGTCTTAGGCCGCCAGCCTATGGCTCGGATAGCTTACGGGTACTTCTCATCCACTGGAGCAGCGCCGGGATTTCCGCTGGAGTCACAGTACCAAGCAGCTGAAGTACCGCTCGCTGAGCTGAGGGAAAGTCCATGGCACACCCGGCAAGCCGCGGAGGCACAGGTTCGCACCACGCACGCGCAGCCACACTCGCGCGCCCGCCGCTCCTCCCTAGCCGCCACCAGAGGCGGAAAGGCCCCTGAGAGGCAGGAAATGCTAAGTCCCGCCCCCTCAGGGAGGCCGCACTCCGGGGTGGGGCGGGGCGGAAGCCCCAAGTCTCGCCCCCTCGCCGGGTCCTCGCACGCGTTCTTCTTGTCTAGTCAATTTTTCCTAAGGTGGCTCTTCGAGTCCTGACTTTTTCCTCGAGGTTGCACCTCGAGAGGGTCTGTTTCATCATTAGCGGTTCTGCCACAGTGACTTATTGGCAGAAAACTAAAGCCAAAGACCAGTCCAGGCAAAGGAACACCGCCACTTTATAGAAATAAACCGTACAAAGGTGGCTTCGTGCCCCGGAAGCGGAAGGTTACCCTCTTTATAAAGGGCTGGACTACGCCAAGTGATGACGTCTCCCCATTGGGCGGAAGGTTCGGTGGCAGTCGTCGGTCTTCCAGCTGGTGGGAGTTGGCTTCACGGTGCAGGGTGTCGGGCCCCTAGTTTATATAGTTGGGAAGCTGGGGTGTGAGGTCGTTCCTGTCCGTGTGCTTCCGGTGTTCCTGGGCTTCCTCCTGCGGCGCGGGGCTTCGTGAAGGACTCCCGGGCCCATAGGGCCACGGCTTTAGCGGTGCTTTTTGCGGTGAGTGTGTGGTTTTCCTGGCTCCACGCTCCGGAGCAGGCCGACCCCTAGTTAGGGGCGAGACGCTAGGGAGGGAGTCCGCCTCCCTTGCCGCCGGCTGTCATCGGCCGGGCGGAGGTCCTCGGACACCATCGCTTGTCCTCCGTCGGAAGTTTTACCAAAAGATGCGCTGTTACCCCTTTGATTCGATTTACCCCGAGCCAAATAAGCTGTAGACTTGACTCTTCCTGTGCAAGAATTTAGATGAGGCTACTTGCTCACAAGTCTTTTGATGCGTACTAGATTTTACTTTTCTATGTTGTTAGTGTTTAACATATTGCTTGGCATGTAGTAGGCGTTAGCCAAATGAGGTATTAGTTCAATAGCAATAGTAAGAGACTGACGATTTTCTTTGTGCCATTTGACACTACTGACCGTACATTTCTTGAAACTTTTGTTGGCTTTACTGATGTCATCCTCATTTGTTTCTTTCATAGGCTTATTTGAACAAAATGTTCCATGGGTTTGTTTTTTGTTTTTGTTTTTGTTTTTAGCTATAGAGGTAAAGAAATGTAGAACGCAAGCCTGAACATGGAGAAAGTAACAGTATAGAAGAGAAAGAAGTCCATAAAAGTTATTATATACAGATGTATAATGGGAAACTAGTTAGGCACAAAGAATCATAAAGCGATACGGGCATAGAAGTTAACGTGTTCCCTAAGAAATGTGCCTGAACAGGTTGCATTCCCAATGTAGCCTCCGTTTCTTCATCTACCTGACAGTCTTATGAGAATAGAAGAGGATTAGATAATGTGTTCAGTACTCTTCCTAGGACAGAGCAGTAGTGGTGTCAAGGAAGAGGGAAGTATTGCCCACAAACCTCTTTACCTCAACTTTTTGCTATGACTGCTTTTTTTTTGTCTTTTTGGGACAGAGTCTTCCTGTAACCACAGCCACCCTGGAACTCATTAGACTAGGGTGGCCTCCATCTGCCTGCTTCTCCCTCTGCCCCACCAGTGCTGGGATTAAAGGCATGATGTCCCACACCTGGCCTGATTAGTATTTTCTAACAGTATAGCGTATCATGCAAAAGAATCTTCAAGTCCTCTTCTCCAAGAGTGGTACTCCTGTAGCTAGCTGTGTGCCAGGAATATATAGTAAGATACTCATACATGATAGCTTTTCTTTCTTTTAAAAATAGATGGTTTTGAAGCTGGGCGTGGTGGTGCACGCCTGTAATCCCAGCACTTGGGAGGCAGAGGCAGGTGGATCTCACAAATCCAGCATTCAAATGGCCACCTGTGATGTCTTCCTAGGCTACATTTCTGGGTCACAGCTTCCAAAAAAAAAAAAAAAAAAAAAAAAAAAAAAGTAGATGGTTTTGTTTTGTTTTGTTTTTCCTATGTGCCTTTGGGGGATGAGAAGATAATTAGTAAAAACTGGTATCCCTTGGATACTTTTAGTCTTGGTTGAGTCTCTCCTTTCATTGGCCCTTTACTTACTGCTGTAATCCATGGTCTTCAGTAGATTCCCCTTGAGAGTTCTTGTCCGCTTGTGTTGCTTCCATGTGTCATCCTTATAAGCCAACCATTTCCAATTTTTTAAGAAATTTATTTTATGTGTATGTGTATGAGTGTATTGCCTGCATGTATGGAAATGTATCCATGTTGTCCAATACCTGCAAAGGTCAGAAGAAGGCATTGGATTCCCCTGGAACTCAAGTTACGGAGGATTATTAACAGCCATATGGATGCTGGGAATCGAACCCAGGTCCTCTGCAAGAGCAGCCAGTGCTCTTAACCACTGTGCTCTCCAACCCCCCAATTTTTTTCTTTAGCCTTCATTTCGTGGATTCTGCACTTTCTCAAGACTCAATAGATCCAAATGCGCGACCTGCCTCACCCTTTTCTACCATGATGTGGCATATATGTGGAACTGTATAAAAGTGGCGATTCTCAAGCCGGGCGTGGTGGCGCAGCCCTTCAATCCCACACTCGGGAGGCAAAGGCAGGTGAATCTTTGTGAGTTCAAGGCCAGCCTGGTCTACAAAGTGAGTTCCAGGCCAGCTTGGACTACAGAATCTAATGTATTGTAAGGTATTTTACATGTGTCTTGATTTTGCCACGACCTGGATATTGAAGCTATCCAAGCTTTTGAAATAAAATTTAACCCCCCCCAAATAAAAAAGACTAAGGCAGGTGTGGTGGCATGTGCCCGCAGTCATAGTACTTTGTAGGCTGAAGTAGGGGAAAGTTCTTGGGCACAAGTTGGAGATCAACCTGGGCCATATAACAGTACTCTAGTCCTAAAACTAACAATGAAGTAATGTAATAAAGTGAGCACTAGGCATCCCACTTAGTAGACCATTACAAGTAAACTTAAGACTCCTCAATCTTTTCTCTATTGACTTCTAACCTTCAAACTAGGTTCCTCTTTTACTTTTCATTTATTGGTTAATGACATTATTAGTTATTTGGCTATTCAAACTGGAGACATTGGAGTCATTTTTGCCTTGTTTATCCTTTTCTTTTTAAAAATTTTGTGTGTATGGGTGTATTGCCTACATGTATATAAGTGCACCCATGTTGTGCAGTGCCTGCAGTCAGGTCAGAAGAGATTGTTGGATCTCCTGGAAGTGGAGTTATGGATGGTTGTTAGCCACCATGTGGGTGCTGGGAATCAAACCTGGGTCCTCTGTAAGAGCATCCAGTGCTCTTAACTACTGAGCCATCTCTCCGGCCCCTGTCCTTTTCTTTTTACAGCCATTTGGCCATTAGGTCCTGTAGATTCCTTCTCACCATTTGCCTTCTTTTTCCCTAGTTGAAGAACACATTTCCCTCTACCAGACTTTGAGTATGGCTCGTATTTGTAGTCTGGGTTTTTGTTTTTTTTTTTTTCCTTTTGATGCATCTGCTACACTGTTTCTAAAGTTGTTTTTATGCTATATATGTGCATATGTGTATGCGTGTATATATATATTTTTTCTTTTTGAGACAGGTGCTCACTGTGTTGCCCAAGTTGACCTTGAACCTTTGCGCTCAAGTGACTCTTCTGCCTTTGCCTCCCAAGTAGTAGGACCTACCATGGTCCTCTGCCTAAAGATATTTAAATTTTTCGGGACAGATTTTCATTATTTTGTTTTGACAGTGCAGTGATTATTAGACCTGACTGCATGTCAGTGTCATCAGTGAAGGTTTTCAAATTCTAAATGGCTGGTTTTACTCTTCTAATTAGGACTTATAAGACTTACTTCTCTAGACCCCCAGTCCCAGGTTATCATCCCTGGGGATTCTGACCTAGCATTTAATCTTTAGCTAACAGTCGTTATTTAAATGTAATTGAAGTAGCTTATTGCTTGAGTGGGTGTCTTCCTCCTACCTCTTCACTTTTGCCCATCAGTGTGCTTTTCAACTTTAAAAAACTATTTCCAAGGGATTTAAAACATTCTTTTTGTTTTCATTTTTTACTCTTGGCAACATTTTCTGAGACATGGTCTCACTGTGTGGCCCTGGCTGACCTGGAAATCCTTATAGGTCAGACTGGCCTTGAACTCACAGAGATTTGCCTGCCTCTGTCTCCCTAATGCTGGAATTAAAGGCCTGTGCTATCAGGCCTAGCTCTTGGCAACATTTTATGTAAAGATTCTTTTTATGACTGATCTGGCAGCCAAGAAATAAGAAATTGTTCCTTATTTTTTTTCTTAGTATTCTTGTTGCTTATAATATATGTTGTATGTGCATGAGAGTGTGTAGATATGCATGCCCATGTGTTTTCATTGAGAAGCCAGAGGTTGAAGTTGGGTGTCTGTCTGACTAACCCCTTGAGACTAGGTTGCTTACTGATCCTGAAGCCTGCCATTTTGGCTAGGTTGACTGGCCAGCTAACTCCTGGGATCTGCTTGTTGTCTCCTCTTAGTGCTGGGACTATAGGCATGTACAGGTTATGGATTTGATGCTGTAGATTTGAACTTAGGTCTTCAAGTGCTCTTACCCATTGAGTCACTTTGTTAACACTCTCAGACTTTTTTTTTTTTAGAGGAAACTTAGATTTATTTTATTTTATATATATGAGTGTTTTGCCTATATGTATGTAAGCATTCCATGTGCCCATGGAGAGCAGAAGAGGGCATCAGATCTTCTAGAACTGGAGTAAAAAGACAGGTGTTAGTCACCATGTGGGTGCTGGGAACTGAACCCAGATCCTTTGGAAAAGCAGTAAGTACTTTTACCCACTGAGTCATCTGTCCAGCCCCTAAACTTAGATTTATTAAGGAAAAGTGAGAAAAATGCCCAAGAATGGGAGGAGTTCCAAGGGAGAAATACTCTACTGTTTAAAGTAGCCTTGCTGTATAGGTTGGCCTCAAACTCATGATCCTTCTGCCTCAGTCTCTTCTAAGTGCTGGGGTTGCAGGTATGTACTACCATGCCTAACGTAATGGAAAATTTGTCTTCCTTTTCTTCTCTTAAGCTATGGGGGCACTGGGGAGATAGCTCAGTTGGTAAAGTGCTTGTTGTGCAATCATGAGGACCTGAGTGCAACCCCTTTTGTAGGTTTTTAAAATTTGTTGGAAAAAATATAGCCAATAACCAAGATTCACAGAATGTTTTGATTATTAAAGTTGTCTAAAGGAACTGGGGAGTTAGCTCAGTCAGTAAAGTGCCTCACAAGCACAGTGATCTGAGTTTGAGTCCTAGAACCCACATACAAAACTGGACAGAGGTTGCACATACTTGTAATCCCAGCATTGGGAATGTGAAGACAGGGAGATCCCTCCACTTCCCAGCCAGCCTAACCTAATCGACCCATTCTAGGCTAATGAGAGATCCTAACCTTATCTCAAAAACTAAGGTGGCCAGGTGAGTTGGTGCATACCATTAATCCCAGCCTATGGTGTTATTTTTAAAAACTCAGATTTTAAAAATTTGATTGTTTTTTGTTGTTTGTTTCTTTTCTTTTCTTTTCTTTTTTTTTTTTTTTTTGAGACAGTGTCTCTCTGTAGCCACAGCTGGCCTGGAACACCC